GAAGGAAGGAAGGAAGGAAGGAAGGAAGGAAGGAAGGAAGGAAGGAAGGAAGGAAGGAAGGAAGGAAGGAAGGAAGGAGAGAAAAAAGGAAGAAAAGAATCAAATGATTTTCCATACAAGTTTGAAATAGTTTCTCCTTTTAGACGAGTGAAACATAAACATTTTCATATCAGTATGTTTGCAACATGGAGATTTAAATCATGTTTAAAACTGTGTTAAAATATTTAAAGAGCTTGCTATGCAGCTTCCACCACAGCAGATATTTATCTGTTCTCCACAAGACTTCAACCATCAGACACTGTGCAGACCACAGTTAATCTTATGCATATGTACCCTGGAAAGAAGCTCCATGAAGTTAATAGATAGTACATGTCTGCAGAGGCAAGCTTTTAGCTTCAGACATATGTATTCAATAACACTATTCACCTGATAAGAATCAGCATAGTGCTTTAATAGTGTGCAATTATGGAGCTGAAGTAGTGCAGATAAAACATGGCCAGGACATTCAACAGCCCATAGATGTCCCACTATTATCTTAAAGGACTTATTCATAAAATCCTAGAAAACAAGACATCACTGTGCTTTACAAACAACAGAGAACTGAGAAGTGCAGGGGCCTGGGGCTTAAGCAAATATAAAATGGATGATAAAAGTGTAAACTGAAAAGCAGAAATAAGTTTATGATATCTTTAAAATAGTAAAAGAAATATACATTTAAATATCTGTTATAAGAGTAAAAGGTCTGAGGCACAAGAGAACCCCCAGACTCAAGAGTGACTCTGGGAACTGAAAAGTCAACTAAAACTGCAGAAAATCAACAGCAGGATTTCTTGCAGGATTTTGAGACGACAGTGTAAGCACCAATATAATAAAAGTGCTATTTTACGCTTACATGTGCAAGTCTAGCATTTGATTCAACACAATCTTTTTAACTATTAAAGTTCATCAAGTTTCTAAACAAATGTGTGTGTGTGTGTGGGTCCTACCAAAAAATTATCCATCATTGTTTTATCAAAATGCAAATTTTGACCTTATGCCCAAGGCAGACCTGTCTATAATTGTTTTCTCATGGTCCAAGAATATAATAGAGGTAATCCTTGATTTACGACAACAACCGGGACCAGAATTTCTTAAGCAAGGCAGTTACTGAGTCACGCCCGAATTTTACGACCTCTTTCACCACAGTTGCTAAGCAAATCACTGCCATTGTTAAGTGAATTACAGGTAGTCCTCGATTTACGACCACAATTGAGCCTCAAATTTATGTTGCTAAGTGAGAAACCTGTGAAGTGAGTTTTGCCCCATATTACAACTTTTTTGGCCACATTTGTTAAGTGAATCACTGCAGTCCTTAAATTAGTAACACCGTTGTTAAAGTGAATCCGGCTTTCCCATTGACTTTGCAGAAGGTCACAACATGGGATCACATGACCCCAGGACACTGCAACTGTCATAAATATGAACCAGTTGTCAAGCATCCAAATGTAAATCACATGACCACAAGGATTCTACAAAGGTTGTAACTGTGAAACGGTCGCTAAATGAACTGTTGTGACTACCTATATGTGGGTGTTCAGTGAATCCAGCTTCTTCATTGACTTTGTTTGTCAGAAACCAGCTGGGAAGCAGCAAATGGCAATTATATAACCTCAGGATGCTGCAACCCTCATAGATTCATGCTAGTTACCAAACAGCTGAATTTTGACCCCAGGCTCATGTGGTCATAAGTCACTTTTTTCAGTGCTGTTGTAACTTCAAACTGTTGGTAAATGAATAGTTGTAAGTCAAGGACTACTTGTAAAATATGGACATAACATAATACGCAAAGCTGCTACAGCAATTCTAAAGTCAGGGCTTATTTAATATGAAATCAAGATGTTCTTAAAGTAAGAAATACACTCACTTTTGTTTTTTGTTTTTTAAAAAAAAGTTTAACTAATTCAACTGAAAGAAGATCAGAGTTACATTGTTTAATTGGCACCCTGAGCTGCTGTATTTGAACTGGTTTAAGGACTCTTTCGAAAGAGAGATTTTTAGCTTAGTTCTTAAAAGGGAAAATAATTTTCCATGAGTATATTAATAACAGCTTTCAACGTAAGGTGGTTTGGGATACCGATAGGATGCTTACCAATTTGGAATTTTATTTCTTTACAGAGGTAACAAAATGCAAGACTGAGCTGTTTTCAGGTATACGTATGACCATTTGACCACCATTTAATCAGTGCTAGGGTAAGATGGCGGGGACTGGCCACCAAATCTAATTTAAGATACTAAAGCATATATATTTTCTCAATAGCACTCACCAATCACTTTGATCTTGAAAGAGCAGCTTGCCTCATTGCCAGCTCTGTCAGTTGCTGTATATGTAATGTCAACTTCTCCAATTGGGAAAAGATGGGGTGGTATAAAGGCTGGAGTAACATGAACTAACACCTGTAACAGGATCAGTCTTAGTAAAGGTAGATGAAATACTGTAGTAAATTCCTAGCAAAAAGTGAACTAAAGTATCAAGAACTAGTGATCTCTGTTGTCATAGTAGAAGAAATTAAGATTAAGTATGGATTTCTTCCTTGGAAATGCTTTCAGATCCTCCTTAATTCAAAGATGATCTTTGGTGACAGTGTTGCAGTACTCCATGAAATACTGTAGCATACTGATTAAAAAGCAATTTGAATGCTACCTAAAATACATACAACTTGCATGTAAGAAGGATGAAGGCAACCTACTTGCCCTGGTGAAGCAAATCCACGTAGCTGTTTTATTTAGCCTCAAACATAAAAGAAACACTTTTCAACAAAAATTAAAAAAAAATTATCTTGTTCTGTCATTATCTTCCTGTACCGATGAACTATACAATTCACAAATGACTCAAATCAAGAGCAACAAAGAAAAAATGTTGGCTTAATCATCTTCATCATAATTGGCAATTAATATAGTAATTTCTGAAAGTGCAAAGCTTACTTGTGTTATTTCAATAATGACTAATATACATGCTGAAGCAAAACATAGTTTGCATTCTAATGTTTGCTTACCTCATCTCTAGAATTATCGGCTGCATCTGGAATCTGCCAGCTAATATTTGCTGAATTCTGGTTTTCCAGAGTTGATGCTTCAATATCATTTGGACAGCTAATTTGTGGAGGTTCAATGTCTGCATACAATACATAAGACAAATTTGAGCATTTGCATTAAAAAGCATTTTCAACTATTTTAGAAAAAGTGATCTATTGAAAGACATTGAAATGAAACTTGAAATGAAAGAATTGTAAAATTCTACACATATTATACTGAGCTAATTATTCATAACCTGAATAGAAATTTCTGAAATTCAGATCCATTATTTTTTATTTTAATGTAAGACAAATCCTTGTACTTTTTTTTAACCTTAGGTCAATAACATTTTGTCCGGTTACAGAAGTGAGAATTACATCTACAAGCAACAATTGTTTATTAATTATTAATTTCATGACAAACAACAAGTATCTGCCTAGAGTTACTGTGAGCGAGTAGGCAGCTATATAAATTTTCTAAAATAACTAAATAACTAAATCCTATGTTCTAAGGTATCTGCAGAAATAGATATAGGATTTGCTTTTTATGTTTTAAGATGTAAGATCACCTTACAGTAATTAGAAATAACCTGATTTTGCTTAGGATTACTTCTTAAATTTTAAAATACATCAACAATATTATCAGCCATTAAACAATTTATCTCCCTGGCATTCAGACATTTAAAATTTTGCAATTATTAATATCAATGATTTCTATTTCAATTAGGCAAGAACACACAGTGATCACATAATTAAATACAGCTCACATATTATTGATCTAAAATGCAACTGTATCACAATACACGTATGATAAAATATGTAGCAGAATTCATATTTTTTCTAGTCAAGAAAAAAAAAACATCAAATTAATTTACACTGCAGTGTGCTTGTGGCAAAAAAATATTGATATTAAATGGCTTAACCTATTTGATTTTCCTTCATTCTTAAATTGTCCAAGGAACCTTTGTTCCGATTAAAATGTTTAAAATGGATGCTGTTTAACCCAAACATCAAATGATAAAAAGAACTGAGAAGAGATTGAGAGATAAGAAGGTACTTATAAAGTAGGGGTCCCCAACTCTGGGCCATGGACGAGTATCAACCATGGTCTGTTTTGGGGCCATGTAAGGTGAGCGAGCAAAACTTCATCTATGTGTGCACAGAATCTAAGTTGTGAAACCTTCCCTTCCAAATCTGTGGAAAAACTGTCTTCCATGAATTCAAACCCTGGTGTCAGAAAGGTTGGGGACCATTGCTCTAAAGGACAGGAAGCCCAGAATATTGAAGAAAGCCTGTACAAAATAAAGTTAATGCCAAAGGAACCCAGGGTTAGGATACAATTAGCAATAGCAATAGCACTTAAATTTATATATTGCTTCATAGTGCTTTACAGCCCTCTTTAAGCAGTTTACAGAGTCAGCACATTGCCCCTAACCATCTGGGTCCTCTTTTAACTGACCTTGGAAGGATGGAAGGCTGAGTCAAGCTGGTTTGGATCAAACTCCTGGCAGTGGGCAGAATTAGCCTGCAGTACTGCATTCTAACCACTGTGCCACCAATTAAATGCTCTAGTCCAGGTGTATCAAACTCGTGATGATGTCATCACATGACGTATCGCAACTTCCCCCCCCCTTCACTAAAATGAGGTAGCAGTGGCCAGCGTGTGATGTTTCCGGCCCGTGGGCCATGAGTTTGACACCCCTGCTCTAGTCATATAGGGGAATGTGAGGAAGAAATGGAAGCAAAAAAATGTTTATCAAACAGAGACCTATGAAGGACTGTTAGTCTGTAAGAAGGTATCATGCTCTAAAACAGTGTTTTTTATATTGGGTAACTTTAAGATGTGAGGACTTCAAGTGCTGGCTGGGGAATTCTGGGAGTTCAAGTCCGCACATCTTACAATTGCCAAGGCTGAAAATCACCTCTCTAAAAGGGTCAAGAAACTGGGCAAATAAAATAGATAGCATGTCACATGCCAAGGAAGCACTGGGTAATGAAGACTTGTGCAGAATAGATAAAGTCTAGAGCAGGGGTATCAAACTGGCAGCCAGCAGGTGAATCATGCGTAGGTCATGCCCACTCTAGCTCTGCAAAGGGGAAAAACATCACAAAAGAGGCGTTGGTACTTACCTGATACGCCCGTTCTCTTTGAGCTGTGAAGAGCATCCAGTAGTGGGAGGTGCTTCAGTCTCTGCATGTCTAGGCTGGGCTTAATTTGTGGAACGCTCCTCCTCCTCCACGGGACTCCTCCCCAGCATTCCCCAGTTTTGGCAAAGACGACAGAAATAAACGCCCTTGTCCTCAATGCCCTAACAATTCGTTGGCCGAAACAGGACCCCACCACTTTTTTCCCCACGTCGGAAAAAAGGGTGGGGCTGGATGCTCTTCACAGCGCAAAGAGAACGGGCGTGTCAGGTAAGTACCAACGCCCTTTCTCCCATGAGCTGTTCAGAGCATCCAGTAGTGGGACATACCAAAGCTTGGCCTGTCCTACGGGAGGGACTCCGTCTGGCCTGGAATGTCCTCCTGGTCCCTGTGAACCCGTTGCAGAACTCTTCTGCCAAAGGAGGCCTCAGCGGATGCAAACACATCTATTTTATAATGCCTAATGAATGGCGATGGAGAGGCCCAGGTTGCGGCTCGACAAATTTCAGTTATTGGTGCCTGTGTGGCCCACGCTGCCGATGTGCTCCTTGTTGAATGAGCTATTATGCCCCTGGGCACCTGCAGGGATTGAGTCTGATACGTTTTCGCTATTGCGGCCCCTAGTCAACGGCCTATTGTTGAAGGTGAGACCTTGCATCCCTGAGTGTTGGGCTGAAAAGACACAAATAAGGCTTCTGTTTTTCTGAAAGCCGCTGTGCGGTTGATATATATTTGCAATGCTCGCCTCACATCAAGCCTATGCCATTGTAGTTCCAACCCTTGGGATGGTCTGGGACAAAAATTAGAGAGTATCAGCTCTTGTGCCCTATGAAAAACCAAGTTAATTTTGGGTATAAATGTAGGATCAGGACGAAGGACCACCCAGTGGAAAACACAAAGATCTTGTCTGATAGACAAAGCTGCAATCTCCGAAATGCAACGAGCAGAAGTGATCGCTACAAGGAAAACTACTTTATACATCAGAAATTGGAGACTTGACGATTTCAAGGGTTCGAAAGGGCCCTTAGTGAGTGCGACGAGGACCTTGTTAAGGTCCCAGGTGGGATAACGGTGTACCGCTGGAGGGTGTAAATTTGTGGCTCCTCGAAGGAAACTCCGTATGTGTGGATGATGGGAAAGAGATAGTAGATCTTCACAAGTGAGAACTGACGCCAAGGCCGCCACCTGTCTTTTCAACGTATTAGGTGATAATGCCTTGTCAAGTCCCTCTTGCAAGAACTCTAGGATTTGAGCCACAGATGGAGAGATGGGATCAATTCGAGACTCGGTATACCATTTGCAGAAACTGGACCATGTGGCATTGTAAATGCGAGTTGTTGAGGGGCGTCTGGCGGCTTGGATAGTGGCGATAACTCTGTTGGAAAACTTTTCACTCTTCAGACAACTCCGCTCAACCTCCAGACGGTCAGGTGCAACCATTGAGGGTCCGGATGTTGAAGGGGTCCCTGGGTTAGCGAGACCCTGGCTTGCGGAATTCTCCATGGTGTTGATAGGGATAGACTGCGGAGGACTGCAAACCACGGCCGTCTGGGCCAGTAAGGAGCTACCAGAAGTAGTTCTGCCCTCGCGTCTAGCAGTTTCTGGATGACCTTGGGAACCAGTGGAAGTGGCGGGAATGCATACAGAAGTCCCGGGGGCCAACGACAGCGGAGCAAATTGAAGTTCTCCACTCCTTGTGAGGGGTACCTGGAAAAAAATCTCGGGAGCTGAGCATTGAGGGGGGAAGCGAACAGGTCCACCACCGGCTGTCCAAATGTCCTGACTGCCTTTGAAACAGGGTCGGATGGAGGCACCACTCCGATTGATCCATCATGGCCCTGCTCAGCCAGTCTGCCTGTGTATTCGACAGGCCCAAAATGTGCTCTGCTCTGATGGAAAGTAGGTTGCTCTCCGCCCAACGACACAAGCGCTCCGCTTCTCGCATGAGATGTTTCGACTGTGTGCCCCCCTGTTTGTTTATGTGAGCTTTGGCTGTTACGTTGTCGGTCAATATTAGTATGTGCTGATTGCGTACCTGTGGAAGGAAGCTGCGGAGAGCCAGGTGTACTGCTCCAAGCTCCAGCCAGTTTATGCTGCATGACGGTTCTATGGCAGACCAGCGGCCTTGGGTTGTGAGCGATTGAACGTGTGCTCCCCATCCAAACAGGCTGGCATCGGTGGTGATGGTAAGTCTGTGTGGCTCTGTCTGTGTGGCAGCCTCTGTTGATGACTGATCTGGTCCACCAGAGGAGAGATGTCAGGACCTTTGATGGTACCTTGACCTTGTATTTGGAGTTGTTTCGGCCAGAGCACTGGTACGGGAGCAGGAACCACTGGAGGGATCTAGTGTGGAGCCGGGCCCAAGGGATGATAGAGATACATGAGATCATCTTGCCTAACAATTTTGATAGTTCCGCTAGGGACACCCTCTTAAGACCCCTGATCTCCTTGATTAATTGCTGAATGCTATTTAGTCTATCTGGTGACAGGTAAACTTTGCCTTCCACCGTATCTATGACTGCCCCCAGATGGGTTAACTGAGTCGATGGTGTTAAATGACTCTTTTTCCAATTTATTGAGAACCCGTGTTGTTGTAGGGATTGTAATGCGTTCTGAGTATCTTTGACTGCTTGATAAGCGGAAGATGACAAAATCAAGACGTCATCAAGATAACACTGGAGTCATACGGGGATATCACGGAGATGAGCAGCTAGCGCTGCGAGAACCTTCGTGAAGGTCCTGGGGGCAGAAGCTAGTCCGAAAGGAAGGGCCACATATTCAAAATGGTGGTTATTATAACAGAATCTCAGAAATTTATAGTAGGAAGGCCGAATAGCAATATGCAGGTACACCTCTGTCAGGTCTATGGACGTGAGGACGTCACCCTTTCTGATGCCCAGTAAGATAGATTGCAGGGTGTGCATTTTAAACTTGTGATATACTAAGAAATGGTTGAGACGTTTCAGATCCAATATTGCTCTCCACCCCCACCCCCCGAACTTTTGGGAACAACAAAAAGATGTGAATAGAAACCTCGCCCTCGTTGGTTGGTGGCTACTGGATGGATGGCTCGTATGTCCAGTAGGTGTTGGATAGCTGTTTCCATGAGACTACATTTAACCGGGTCTCTGGAGAGAGGGCTGTTAGGTATAACATTGATACCAAATATGGTTTGGGTGAATAAATATATAAAACTTAGATATCATGGTTTAAGTGCTTATCACTTTAAGCACAATGCAGCAGGCAATTAGCCGATTAAGGGTGCGGTTAGAAGTTACTATATAAGGAAGCATTAGAAGCTGGAAAGTGTTACTGTAACTGGCTGTAACTGTGTGCTGCTGCGACTTACTGTGTGCGACTAACTGTGATTACTGACTGTGAGTGCCTGTGACTGAACTGTTATTGTTTGCTACTGTTTACTGAATATCCAGCGTTTGTTTCTCTGGAGAGTGAAACCGGAGGAGGAGAAGATATCTTTATCGGCTGATAAAGATATTGCAAGGACTCTTAACTTGGACTATACTAGTGAGTCTTACTGGATGGAAATACTGTGAATGACTTAATGGAATGAATGACAATGCTTAAATTCTAACTGGATTAAAAACTATTTAAACTACAAACAGTGTTTGTGTTCAGTGTGTGTATACTCTGGGGCCCTTCCGCTCTCGTTTGACTTCCTGGCTTGACTACTGCTGCAATACTCTTCTAGGGGTTAATTCCAAAACCCTAACAAGGGCATGACATGAAAAAATCTGGGGGAGTGGATTGAAACTCCAGCGCAAGGCCAAATCTAATCATGTCTCTGACCCAGGAATCAGAGGTTGAGGAGTCCCATTGGTCTGCGAATAATTTAAGGCGTCCGCCAATGGGGGTCGGGTCCAGGGAGTTATCTTGGATGATGAAAGGACCTGTTTCCTGCTCCCTGAAAGGATCTTTTGGATTGACCACCCCTTCTGCTCCTATCCCCAAAGTCGGACCTGTCTGGCTGCTGCCCTGGTCTGAATGATGGGGGTCTCTGGTATCTGGGTGAAAAGGATCCCTGGTAAAAGGGCCGAAAGGATCCCCTCCGAAAGGACTGAGGGTTTCTAGAATCTGACTTCCGAAAAAGGGAAGGAAGAATTTTCTTCTTTTTGTTAGGGGTTTCAATTAGTAGCGGATCAAGGGAAGGGCCAAACAGTCTGTCTCCCACAACTGGGGATGAAGCCAGCTTGCATTTGTGCTTAAAGTCGGCTTGCCAATGTTTTAACCATAGTAAGCGTCGCACTGTGACATGTGAAGTAATGGCCCTGGTTGAAAACTTGACTGCATGATAAGTTGCGTCAGCTGAGAATTCAGCAGCTGCTATAAGTTTAGCAATATCTTGGTGCGCTCTAAGTTTGGAATTAGGGACATGTTCCCGTAAGAGGCGGAGCCATCTGAGAGAAGAACGGGTGAAGAAGGAGGCGGCTGTGGCTGCTCTGATGGCCCATGCGTCAGACTGATGGGCTCTGCATAGGGCTAGCTCGGCCCATTTTTCCTCTGGCTTTAATGCCTCCAGCGCATCACTGGGAATGGAGGAGGACACTAATCCCACTATAGGTTCATCTACCTCGGGAGTATTCAATAATTTTGAAAAATCAGGGGCCAAATTGAAATATTTCCTATCATATCCAGTGGGGGCTGGGTACACCGCTGCAGAGACCCACTGTTTCTGTACCAGGTCCGAAAACATGGGAGGAACTGGGATCACCTCTGCTTCGACTACTGGTTGGTTGAAAATTAGATCTTCTGGTCCCTCTTCCGAAGGAGTTGGAGTGGTAGAAGGGGTCGACTTGTTTAGGCGTATAATATTTTTTGCCTTAAACAAGAGAGATCTGAAAAGTTGTGGGCGGAATAAGCCTGTAAAAACAGGTTGGTCAGGAACAAGGCCCTCATCCTCAGACATTCCCCTTTCTAAGGGGTCTGCTTCTGACAGGGGCTTGCTGTCATGTATTGATCCTGATTCAATCTCTTCCATTTGATCAATTTGATCCACTTCTTCTTCCTCCTCCTCCTCCTCCTCAGTCAGCCCTTGGAGGGGGACCTCCTCTTGTAAATGTACCTGGGTATAGTGCTGCTCCGACCTGGTCAACGACCTCAGCGATTGGGAATCATAATCACGATCACAGGATATTCCCTGGTCATAACTGCGTGTTGAAGACCTGCTGCGATTCCCTGGTGAATTGCCAGCTCCATCCAGTCCTTCATCCTCTCTGGAACTTCCTCTGGAAGAATGTCGTCCTGACGAAGACCGTCAGCCGTCAGAGTAAATGTAGCTTCAGGAGCCCTTCGCGTGGTCGGTGTCCCAGATATTTGGGCCTGTTGGCCTTGGGGAGCCAAGCTGTGCCTGGATGAGAGGGAGAGATCTAGGGGAGGAGGAGGGTGGGAAAAGATAAACGGACCTGTGCTGGAGGAGGGGAAGTCCTGTGAGACCTTGTGCGCCTCCCATGTGCACTTATCTATCTGTTTTTGTAAAGCTTTATGGCGCCTGATGGCATCCCTTTCTGAAGTTTTAGAATTCCCTTTAGCCTGCTTAGGTTTGTGCTGAGATTTGGCTTTGACCTTCAAGGATGAGGTCTGAGAGCTGCTACCGTCAGCCATTTCGATTGAAGTTGGAATTGCAGTATGCTTGTTATACAATGCAATACTGTGAAGGCGGTTGGCACGCCCAGGGGCCTGATCTGAGGACAGACCGGTTGCCCTGATGAAGTTTTTATTGCCCCCTTTCCTCTTTTTTTTTGAATAATACCTATCTATAATGAGTCATATCTCAGTAACAATATTTTATTGATATTAAAATATTATACCAAAGAGAAAATTATTATTATTATTGCATTATTATATAACCACTAATATATATACAAATATATGGCAATATGTATATGAATACTAATTAAGTGGCACGATGTTAAGTGCTGAGAAACCAAACAGCCAAACTGAGAACGCCTAAAGGCCCAGATTGATAAGGGTAGAGGCCTTCAACAGCTTCCTTGCACAGGCAGACACAGGCCTAGGTGCTCGCTGTTGTGCCGCTGGGTTGATTGGGCTGTGAGGGTTAAGCCAACAATTTAACTGTAAGAATAGCCTTGAATGTAGAAAAAAACCAAGACGAGGGTATAATGGTCCCCAGTGTTCCTGAAGGGAACCTCTGCTCGGGACAGTTACCTCACACAGCACGAAATGGAATACAGGCGCGCAGCCACGAGGTCTTGTAAGAAAATATGGCCTCCAGCTGTTAATCTTTTGGCGCACTCCCCAGCAGCAAACTCCCGCCGTGTGAAGGAATAGCCTCCGATGGCTTTTCCTATAAGGCTAAATGGTGGGGAAGGGTGGAAGGCACTAAGCATTTGAATCCTCCACCCCAAGTGGCGTTGAGAGGGGGAAGGAAAGCGATACGACTCTGTTGGGAGCAAAGAGCTCATGCCGCTGTTCGGGTAAAAGAAACTCTGCGGCAATCTGTTGGAATGGCAGGGGTAGAAAGATTGGTTATGGGGAGGGGGCGCGGAGCAGCGCCAAAGCCTCCCACCGCTTTGGGGCGCGAATTGGCGCTTCCCTGTAATGCGAGTGATCTCTGTAATGCGAGCCAACGTCGAGAGATCGCAATGCGATTAGAAGGCTAAAGGATTCTAAAGACAAGCTGATTAACTTTCAAACCTGCTAGCAAGGAAATAATTTTTCCTGTTTCGGCCAAGGAAGAATCACAAGCACTGCCTATCTCTCACGAGGCTGAGCCAAAACTGGGGAACGCTGGGGAGGAGTCCCATGGAGGAGGAGGAACGTTCCACAAATTAAGCCCAGCCTAGACATGCAGAGACTGAAGCACCTCCCACTACTGGATGCTCTGAACAGCGCATCGGAGAATGTCACGTGACGGCAACGTGACACCGTGAGTTTGACACCCATGGTCTACAGAATATATGTAACTGCCTTAAGCCAAGTAAGACCATTAATTAGTCCACTACTGTGGATTTTAACTAATATATAACACCTGTATTAAATTTCTCTGCAATTCCGCAATGCCACATCCATCACAGAAGTTAATGCATTCAAACTTCATTGTGATTTTGTGTTAATACCCATCCAATGCTATTTCAAATGAGCTAAAAGAATAATGATGCCTAGGATTAACTCTATTACAAATGTAACATTTTACCACAGCTAAGGCTAAAAAGGGAAGAAGGAAGTCACATCATTCATCCTGTAATTGAGACACTGAAAAACATCATTTCTGTTACATGCTGGATGTAGGTCTCATAAATTTGTGTGGCTTTTAGCTGAAATAAACAATGCTACTACAAACCTATAATTTCAGGCCAATATTTATACTGTATACTGATGAAGCTTTATCCAGTTTAGTTTTCTTTCCCTCAAATAACAATCTAAGTTAATTTCAAACCATCAGCATAATAAAAACAAAGGTATCTAAAATAAGAACCAAGATGTAGGTTATGAAATGTTCAAACTATTTCCATATCCTCCATTCCCTTAACATGTACACAAAGACAGTTTTTTTTAAAATTGGTAATACTACTGCTAATTATCTCAATCTTGGTTTCTCAAATCTTGACATTATTTACTATATCTTTCTTCAAAACATTTAAAAAAAAAACTCTTATTTTTTAATGAGAGCAAATTATTATCAAAATCCATACCTTTACAAAAAGCTATCTGCAGATTTTCACTCCATTTTCCAGTGTGTAAACACCTCAGTTCTTCTGTTACACCAGACAAAAGGAATCCATTTGGACAACTGAGACTGCACACAGTTCCATATTTTGATTGTTCAAGCCCACAAATATAAGGGTGAACAATAACACCTTTTGGTTTTAGGAAGGCCGGACAATGTAACTCTAGAAAAAAGGAAGTACATTATTGACAACATGCATGAGTAGAAAATACATTTCATACAAGTATTCAAATGCAAATAGGTAAAGGTTTCCCCTGTTCAGTCATTTCTGACTCTGGGGCTTGGTGCTCATCTCAGTTCAATGTTGTCCGAAGATAGTTCATATAGCCAGCAAGACTATATGCCGAGGTCCCACCAAAGTGGTACCTATTTATCTACTTACATTCACATGCTTTCTAACTGCTAGGTGGGCAAAACTGGGGCAAATAATGGGTGCATTATTGCAGTGCTCAGGTCTCAAACCCAGGCTGTCAGCTTTCCAGTTCACAAGCTCAGCATCAGCAGTGTGTCCCCTTACAATTGCAAATATTTACATCAAATCCTGAGTAAAAGTTACAAGTGTAACAGGAAATCAATATAACCAGTTATTCTAAACTTGTTATAATTTTTATGTTTTTACAACATACAATAACCAGCAATTATGTTTTGAAAGTTCCTCTCTGGACCACTGAAGCTTAAAATCAGATTTTTTTTTCTTCTGACTTGTACAGTATAACAAGCATCCACCGTTTTCTTATACCAACATGTACCCTACCTAGGTAATACATTTTTAAAAAGTAATTGTGGAAGGACATAAAGGAAGTCTGCTAAAGGCTGTATGGTAAATTATTTAGAAACAGCAACCAAACAAACTTTGTTACAAAATAAAGGAAACTAAAGATATACATTGTGCATTTGAAACATACCAACACATTTTGGTTCCTTCCCATCCCACTGAGAGTTGCCTTGACAGGTAAGTTTGGTGTGGCCTTCCAATTCGTAGCCTTCGTTGCAAGTGAATAAGCACACCGTCTTATAAGAGATCTCACTTAATGAGCAATTAATATGGCCGTTTTGAGGGGTTGAGAGTTTGAGGCATGTGCGAACTGCAGAGGTTAAATAATGTATAAGCATTTTTAACAAGAGTAAGTAATAGATCCTAAGAGTATATTGAGTAAGATACACATATCATGTCCATCTCTTTTGTAAATACATACACACTTCAATTAAACTATATGCAACAGATTTAAAGTGAAGATCGGAATATTATATCTTCAACTCCAATCTTGGGAGATATCCACAGGATAACAACTGCAATAGAGAACTATAGCTATATATTATCCTGGGAATATCAGACTGTCAGGCAGGACAAGTATCTTATCTTGGAATATTATTCTCACCCCTAAAATCCTAGAACCTGGACAGTGAGAACAAATCTTCACCTTTTTTCCCATTGCTTTTTCTCTTTAACTACCTCCATCTATACTGGAATATTAGAAAAAAAATCAAACTCTTTACCTATTTTTACTCACAACCTTTCTATTTTTCTCTCTCTCTCTAGCTCTGCTATGGCACCTTTGTTTTCCTGTAATTTAAAACACCTTTGAATTTTGAGGTTTTTTTTAAATTAGCCTTCTTTCTACAGTACCTGGCACTTTATTCTTTGGGGAAGTGATAAAAATAGTGCATTAAAGTGACTTTTGTCTCATATAAATTTGTGGCAAATGTTCCTTTGTAAACTTTTGAAAGAAGCATCTTTTAATTCTGAAATGAAAGAGGACAGATCAAAACTTGTTTGTTGCCTTTTCCAAGTAGAGTCCCTATTTCCAAGAAATGTCATAAAAAGCAAACTTCAAGTTTCCTTTAAAAAAAAAATCTAAGAGTTTAGAAACCAAGATACATCAAAAAAGGAGACTCATTGTACAAGAAATGTAAGCAGCATCCAATATAAGAAAACTCCTCTCCCAAAGGGAGACATTATTCAAGTGAAAGTGAAAGTGTTGGTCACTTCCAGTAAAAATAAATATATAAAAAATGTATTTATAAACAACAAGGAGCAGCAAGCCAAACCTCAGCACAAAAATGCCTGATTAAAGCATGACTGGAGTTTATTCTCTCCCCATTCCCAAATGGCTGAAGAATGTCCTGAAATACTTCCAAATACTTTAAAAAGTTTTTTGACTACTTAACAGATGTACTTTTTTCACTATTACTTCAAAACAGAATGGAGGCTTTTCATAGGAATAGGGGGTTTCAGAAATCAGGATTTACGAAAAACCTGATGTAAGTTGATGATGTATACTTTTCTACCATGTTGCAACCGAGACCAAATATTACAAAAATTGTTAAGAAAGAAGGAATTCATTTTTCTTCGTTTTTTGAGACCTGCCAAAGTGAGCAGAAAGAACCTCCATGTGCCAAACTTTTAATCAGCTTTACAGTAAATGAACTAGTAACATGTCAAAGAAGTGTCAATCACAGAACACTAACAAAGGCAAGTAGGCATGAAATACAGGTCTACTTCATTGTACTAAAAGTACAATAACTCTCTACAATTTTCACACCTGGCTGCAGCAGTGACTGGAACTCTACTTCATTTGTGAAAGAATAATCATTCAAGAGAAACTAAATAAAAACCACTTGTGGCTTTCACAAGACACAAAGTATCTTAAAAATAATTTCCATATTTTTCCATCTGTTTTCTATATTGAGAATCTTGTTATCCTAATTAATTTACTTTCACTATAGTGGGTATTCTGCTTATAGCATATACACATCAGTATTTCAGGTACGTAGTACAAGCAGGGTATATACAACATTTGCATATGTACATATACAGCAAAAACCCAGAAGCTTCACTGTGAATTTATTTAAATCATCTTCCCAGGATCAGATGGTTGCTGTGTAAACTGTTCCCAGTTTTCTCTGAGTGCATGTGCACACACAGCCATTTCACTTTGAGTATACAGGGATGGCTCTGCAGGAGTCTGGGAAAACACATAGATGTTTTAAAGCTTCAAAAAGAAGTGTATCATGTACCCATGTTCTACAAAGCATCTTTTCTAAAGTATTTCCACAACACAAGTGGCTATATGTGTTAGTGTTTGGGGATAAACCCCTAGCAAAGTATGCAGCAGCAGTC